TTTCACCATGTTGACCAGGATGGTCTCGATCTCTTGACCTTGTGATCCACCCGCCTCGGCCTCCCAAAGTGCTGGGATTACAGGCTTGAGCCACCGTGCCCGGCTTAATTTTTCTTAATAGAAGTTAGCACTTCTCTGACAGGGTATGAAATTTTATTTTGTCTCTTTCCTACCCTTACAATGTAAGTTCCATGAAAGTAGGATTTTGTCTGTTCATTGCTGTATTTCTAGTGCATAGAATAGAGCATAGCATGTAGTAGCTATATAAAAATATTTATCACATACAGATTTACTAAGTATAAAATGAATGTAAGGTCTTTAGGTGTAGCTAAGCATGTAGTTTGTGGTACTTTTGAGAAATCACACCTCATACAAGCAATATATAAGGTAGAAGATTTAGAACATGTAGGTAAGTCAGAAGAAAAAAAAATAGCTATACCTCAGAGATATTGTGGGTACTGTTTCAGACCACCATGATAAAGTGAATATTGCAGTAAAGCAAGTCACACAAATTTTTTGGTTTCCCAGTGCATATAAAAGCGATGTTTGTCTTGTACTGTAGTCCTGTACTGTAAGTGTGCAGTAGCACTGTCAAAAAGAAGGTACATACCTTGATTAAAAATTACTTTATTGCTAAAAAGTGCTAATGATCATCTGAGCCTTCACTGAGTTGTAATCGTTTTGCTGATTGAGAAGGATCTTGCCTCAGTGTTGATTATTGCTGACGGATCAGGATGGTGGTTGCTGAAGGTTTGAGTAGCTGTGGCAATTTCTTAAAAATAACACAACAGTAAAATCAGCCACATCAATGAACTTTTTCTTTCATGAAAGATGTCTCTGTAGTATGTGATGCTGTTAGGTAGGATTTTGCCCACAGTAGGACTTTTTTCAAAATTGGAGTCAGTCTTTCAAACCCTGCTGCTGCTTTATCAACTATAAGTTTATGTGAAATTCTAAAGGGTTTGTTGTTATTTCAACAATGTTTATAATACCATTACCAGTAGATTCTATCAAGAAACCACTTTCTTTGCTCATTCATAAGAAGCAGCTCCTCGTCTGTTGAAGGTTTATCCTGAGATTGTGGCAATTTAGTTATATCTTCAGGCTCTACTTCTAGTTCTCTTGCTATTTCCACCACATCTACAGTTACTTTCCCCACCGAAGTTCTGAACTCCCTCAGAGTCATCCATGAGTGTTAGTCAGTTTTTTCCAAACTTCTCTTCATGCCGATATTTTGACATCCTCCCGTGAATCGCAAATGTTCTTAATGACATCTAGAATGTGAGGAATCATTTCCAGAAACTTTTCGATTTACTTTGTCCAGATCTATTAGACGAATTACTACCTATGGCAGCTATAGCCTTATCAAAATGTATTTCTTAAATAAGAAGACATGAAAGTAAAAGTTACTCATTGATCCATGGGCTGCAGAATGTATATTATGTTATCAGGCATGGAAACAACATTGCTTTCTTTGTATATCTCCATGACAGCTCTTGAGTGACAAGGTGCATTGTCATTGATCAGTAATATATATATTTTTTCTTTTTTTTGAGACGGAGTTTCGCTCTTGTTCCCAGGCTGGAGTGCAATGGCGCGATCTCGGCTCACCGCAACCTCCGCCTCCTGGGTTCAGGCAGTTCTCCTGCCTCAACCTCCTGAGTAGCTGGGATTACAGGCATGCGCCACCATGCCCAGCTAATGTTTTGTATTTTTAGTAGAGACGGGGTTTCACCATGTTGACCAGGATGGTCT